TGTTATTGCCGCTTGCTGTGTGCTCCGTAATATTTGTGAGAGTAAGGGGGAGACGTTCATGGCGGGGTGGGAGGTTAAGGCAAATCGCCTGGCGGCCGATTTTGAGCAGCCAGACACCCGAGCGATTGGAAGAGCACAGCTAGGCACGCTGCACATCAGAGAGGTTTTGGAAACCAGTTTCATGACTGGCCAGGGTACGGTGTGACAGCTGTGTGTGTTTCTTCTTGCTGCAAACCCGCTCCCTTTCTTGATTGATCCCTGTATGCCAACCACCCTTCCCCCTTCGATCACAGCTGGCAAAGGAAATAAAGTAACTATTGTTTTGAAACCATGCATTCTTTCTTTATTAATTAAAAAAAAAAGTGAGATAACTGACAAGGTACCCTGGGTGGGGTGGGTGAGGTGCAGGAGGAGGGAAGGACAAGGCCATATTACTTATTGTAGCCACTCTACAAATCAAAACTGTTTGAATGATAGCCTTCTGTCGCTTGGGCCATCCTCTGGAGTGCCCGGAGCCTCTGCTCCTGCGTTCTTGGGCGTCTGGGTGAGGAGGATATGGAACTTGGGGAGGAGGGCAGGCGGTTATACAATGGATGCAGTGGGGGTCTGTGCTCTTGTTGGCTTAGAAAGTGTCCTACCGTGGAGGACGAAATAAGGCAGCCCTCCCCAGAAACCTTCTGCCAAGGCTTTTAGAGTACCTCCAGGAGAGCTTCATGGAGATGTCCCTGGAGGATTCCCGCTCCATGCCCAGACACATTAACAGACTTTTCGGATAGCTTACTGGCCGCGAATGCATCCCAATTCTTCAGGGCAAATCAAACATTAAACACTATTGCTTTTAAACCCTGTACTGTAGTCACAAATGTGCACTCACCAGAGGTGCCTTCTCCAGCTTCAGAGTTGGGGATCCCACCTTGGCTCTAGACTGATGAAAAGGTCCTGGAGGCTGGGGAGTACGGCTTCACTGCTTGCCTGCTGCACATTCTCCTCCTCATCATCATCATCACCCGCAAAAGCCTACTCCCTGTTGTGTGATACTCCCCCCTTGCAGGTGTCCACAGACAGTGGTGGGGTAGTGGTAGGGTCCCCCTGCTATGTGTCCCTGTTGTAGCCTCTCTCCACCATGCCCTGTGCGATTTTGGCATATATATTAGCATTTCTTCTTTTTGATCTGAGTTCGGCCTGCACAGATTCTTCTCACCATACAGCAATCAGATCCAGTGTCTCCCTTTCGGTCCATGCTGGAGCTCGTTTGCGATTCTGGGGGGACTGCATGGTCACCTGTGCTGCTGAGCTTGTCACGCTGACCAAACAGGAAATGAAACTCAAAATTTTCCGGGGCTTTTACTGTGTACCTGGCTAGTGCATCGGAGTTCAAAGTGCTGTCCAGAGCGGTCACATTGGAGCACTCTGGGATAGCTCCCGGAGGCCAATACCGTCAAATTGCGTCTGCACTACCCCAAATTCGACCCAACAAGGTCGATTTTAGCGCTACTCCCCTCACCGGGCAGGAGTACAGAAGTTGATTTTAAGAGCCCTCTAGGTCAACAGAACAGGGTTGGTTGTGTAGACGCATTCATTTTAAAATCGACCTAACACAGCTAAATTCAACCTAACCCCATAGTATAGACCAGGTCAGAGACTAGAATTCATAGGAGCCAGTCTTGTCTGAGCGAGAGCACTCCTTCCACAACAGAGATTCCTCAGTCTTTCCACACTTATAGAGACGGTGCAGTCCAGTCCTCAAATATCAGCCAGACACTGCCTTCCACTTCTGGGGCACATGGCCATGAGCACATCTGGGATAGCTCTTTCCAAACTTTGCATGAAATGCCTCCAATCATGCTTCAATTCGGTTTACAGACTGAACAAAGACAAAATCCTATCTCTGCCCACCAAAAGCAAACAGTGCTGACAAACACCTGCCTGGGAATCCTGTTTGTGCATCCTTCTCCATCACTACTTCTCACCACTGAGGCATCCCTCGTAGGATGGGGCACACATCTCAGTGATCTCACAGTGCAGGGCAAATGGTCTCCATCTGAGACATGCCTTCACATCAATCTACTCAAGCTCAGAGTGGCCAGAAATGCATGTGCTCATTTCCTTTTGCTGATCAGAGGTACGCACACAAAGGTCATGACGGACAATATAGCATGCATGTATTACATAAACCATCAAGATGGCATCACTTACAGAGACAGTGCAATCCAGCCTTCAAATGTCTGCCAGACATTGCCTTCAGCTTCCTCTCCCTTTGAATGGAAGCACTAAAGCTATGGAACTGGTTCATTTCCCATAATGTTACAATATCAGCAGCTTACCTGCCAGTACACAACATGGCAGTGAACAGTCTCAGCTGCAGATTCCCACACAACCGAGAGAGAGAGAGAGAGAGAGTGGTACTCTGTGACATATTCTGACAACAGGATCTCAATCTAGTATTAAAAGAACTGACTAGACTGCCCTTTGAACCATGGCCACTTGTTCTTTAATTCATCTTTCCATGAAGAAGGTGTTCCTGGTCACCATTACCTCGGCAAGAAGGCTAGAGGAGATAATGGCCGTGATGACGCGTCCACCCTTCACAGTGTTGGTCTTCGACAACATCATGCTTAGACCACATCCAAAGTTCACCCCCAAAGTGACTTCCGCATTTCACGTGAACCAACTAATTCACCTTCCTACCTTTTATCCCAAACCTCACCAGGATAATAGGGAAGCCATCCTCCATACACTCGACGTAAGGAGTCTGGACCTTGTATTTGGATAGGACAAGAATTTTTAGAAAATCTCTGAGACTCTTCCTCTCCATCGCAGACAGATCTAGAGGCACACGATTTCAGCTCAAAAGCTCTCTTAGTGGGCCTCGAACTCTATCAAGCTCTGTTATTAGATTTGCAATTTAGCACCTCCATCTGTAATCTGCACACATTCTATGAGATTGGTTTCCTCGTGCATCGCCTTCTCCAAGGGTCTCCCTATATCAGAAATCTTCAGCACCGGTATCTGGGCATCTGCACATGCATTTGCCGAACACTCTGCCATCCTGGGGAACTCTACTACAGATGCCAGATTCAGTGCCACGATACTGTCATCCATCAGAGACCCGACTCTGAAGCCCCAGCCTCCAGTAGGGCATACTTCTCAGGAGTCACCTACAGTGGCGCACTCATAGGGACACTATTCAAAGAAGTAGTAGTTACCTTGTGCAGTAACAATGGTTCTTCAAGATATGTCCCCCTGGGGTGCTCCATGAACACCCTCCTCCCCTCTACTTTGGAGTTCTCATCATACTCTCTGTGGTAGAGAAGGAACTGAGAAGGGTTTGCCCGTGCAACACTGGTTAGCCTTGTGACAGACCACAAGGTGAGGGGGGAGAGGCGAGGTAGTGCATGGGGTGGGCCAAATAGACACTGCTACCAAAATTCTCCAATCAGCAGTGCAGGGACACACATACACCTACAGTGGAGCACCCATAGGTGGACTTGTCTCGAAGAACCATCGTTACTGCTTCTTATGAACTTCTTATTGTTTACCCCCTTACTCTCCCAGCGCCCGATTCCTTTTGTGAGTATGTGCCCTCATACAAGTAGCGAACATGTTCACTTGTGTGACACAGGAGCTATGCGGAAAGTCTGGATTGTTCCTCTAGTTGGTCTAACTGTATTAAAAGCATTTTTGTATGTTTGAGTTGTGAGTGATTGCCCTGAGAATCTGAATCCAAATAGAAATTGGAAAATAGAAGTATTAGTACTCTGCCCACAAACCAAACTCCACCCACTTGAGGTGCCAAAAAGAGATTTTACCCTCTTAGCAGATGCATAAGCCAGGAAGCCTCTGTAAGACCCGACTTAGATGCAAATCCACACTTTTGGAAAAACTTCCCTAAGCTAAAAATAGGAGGGTTTTTGGTTTGGTTTGGTTTGGTTTTGCGTAATGGTCGGATATACATTTCCAACTTACACAAAATTCAAGTTACGCAAGGCATTCCGGAACAGAACGATTGCGTAAGTCGGGGAGTGTCTGTATGCATAATGTCCATCTCCTTTCTCATTTGCTTTGATTAGCAATGAAATAATCAAGTTGGCACTTAAATCGTCATAATTAGATTTCAGACTTAATGGCATATTGAAATGAATAGGGTGAGTTTATATTTCTCTGAGAGTAATTATTTAAGGCTAACTGCAGATTTGGGCCACCTCTCTGCATCAGTTCACCTTTTGAAGGTTTTCAACCATAAGAGAGAGAGACTTTTTTAATAAATGATCATGTATATTCTGGAGCACAAGACGACATTCTCCAGATAAATATACCAGTTTATCAAACCACCATATATCAGCACAGTTTGACCCCTGCAGCTGGGTTTTAGGTCATGAATGGAAAAAGCATTGAGAAGTGCTGCTGTGGTTGACAGGTTTAGCTGTTGAGAAGCTAAATATAGGGGTAAATGCTGAGAAGCAGAAGAAAACATGAGATTTTTTTGTAAGTATATTTTTTCTTTTAAGATGTGGGAGGGATAGTAAAGAATTATAGGTTATAAAATTGTACAACAGGATAAGTAAAACATTTTCAAGAGAATTCAAAATGTTTGTCTGTTGAGAGTAAATTTAGCAAGTCATTCCATAACCTTTTATTTTAGATTAACTAAGCTGTAATGATTTGTATGCTACACTCATCAGTTTGTAAATGGCTTCAAGGATCTGAGTGTAACTAGGTTTCATTGTTGTGTAGAAAAATCATTTAAAAGAAATTGCTGTGTTTCAGCATGTGACTTTGGTCCATTTTAAATTAGTAATCAAATATTGTGATATTCTATAAGATATTTTATTGTGATATTCTAGAAGATATTTAAGGTGAACTTGTTAATCTTGTTACTCAACTTGTTTCTTTAAACTTCCTTCAGAAGATCATCTTTGTGAAAGTTATTTTAAACAAGAAAACAATATTATATTTGGGCATTTGAGTATTGAGAGGTAGGGTGTTCTTTCTCCTGACAGATGGAAATTCCTTCTGCTGGCATTGTGAACAGATATATCGCCACTCAAGGTCCTCTTCCACATACCTGTGCACACTTCTGGCAGGTAGTCTGGGATCATAGGTTGTCGCTGATCATCATGTTGACAACCCTCACCGAACGAGGACGGGTAAGTGTGTATATCCTCTCTTGAAGCTTGCAGTTCACCTCAGTCTCAAAGTAATTAAACATTTATGTCTAAATTTGTGTTTTGATCTTGACTATCGAAGCTGGTTTACATTGAAAATCCTTTCTGCTAAAGAAGCTTGTCTCTTCCTGTAATATACTGTTTGCTACACTTTTTGAACTTTGTTTCTTATCCCCTCTCCTGAATAAAAAGCAATTAGGCCAGCTGCTTGTTTCTTACCACTCTGTGTGTGAAAATGTATAAAATATTAAAATGGCAGATTCTGATACCTGCTTTTCTGAAAACATCATGTGAGAGGAGTTAGAGAATACCCTCTAAAGCAGTGCTTCTCAACTATCTGATGTGGGGGACCGGTATTTTTTTTTCCAATGTACGCGCAGACCTGCAGCTGATGGCTCGCAGACCGGCATCAGTCCACGGACCACCACTTTGAGTAGCACTGCTCTAAAGCACATAGCCAAAATTTAGTCTAATTAAATTACTTATGTTGTTGAGAATCTGTAAAAAAAAAAAAAAAAAAAATGTTGACTCCTTTCTTAAAACTGCTTTGAAGAATCTGTTAGAGGACTGATTTACTAAATTATGGTTTTGAAATCAGTTCATAGACTCCCTGAGTCATAGGAAATCCAAAAGTGCAAATATTTCTATTTCCAGTGTAAAATGTATTTGCTCTCTAATTTATAATATGCATGAAGTGAAAAATCCCTGTAACCCCTAAAACAGCGGTCCCCAAACTTTTTCAGGGAGTGAAGCCGCAGTCAGGAGCAGGGCCCCTGAGCTGTGGCTGGGACTGGGGGTGGGGCCAGAGCCAGAGTGGAGCTGGGATTGGAATGGGGGCTGGGTGGCACTCCCTCACCACCCCCTGCAGGGGCTGCCCTAGGCCCCGCCATGCACCCCCGAATGGTCTCACGCCCCACAGTTTGGGGGACTACGGTTCAAAAAAGTGACCAGCTAGTGGATGGATGATATAGAAACTTGCTGTGTGTAAGGATTCGGAGGCAGATCAAATAGGGAGCACTGCTCTGAGTAGTAAAGGTTCTTCTTTGAGTGCTTACTCTGTCCCTTCCACGCCAGGTGTGTGCGTGCCACGTGCACAGTTGCCAGAGATTTTTCTCTTCGTGATATCTGTAGAACCGGCTCTAGCGTCCTCTGGAGCTGTGCGCCAGCACAATGAGCCCTGCCGGCTGGTTTGGACTTTTCTGTCATATGTTGCAGAGTTATTCTCATTCGTGTATGTAGTTCTTCGTGTCCATTCCATGACCCACCCTCCTACCCCTGTGTCAGAGTTACTGGCGAGAAGGAAGTGGGAGGGTGCGGGCACATACACGCCTGGCTCCAGAGGACACTAGAGCCGGCCCTACAGATACCACCAATGGAAAAATCTCTGGCAACTGTGCATGTGGCCCACTCACGCATGGAATGGACATTAGTAACACGTCTCAAAGAATAACACACATGAAAGGTTAATGACCGTTTTTTTCTGGCACCTGGGAGGTGAGACAGCTCGTGACTTTTGCCTGCCTTCCTACAGATAGAAATCCTCCTCAGCCTATAACTGTATTCCCAAAGTAAACTCTCAGTGCACTGTCAATTCCTGAAACTGAGATTCTGGTTGGGAATCTGGTTTGGGAACTGGTTTATTTGGGAGTGGATATTTGGAGGTTCCATTTAAGGTACTCACTAACAAGGTCAGCTCCCAGGCTGCTGCGCTGGGCATCACAACATGGGGAATAGATGGCCAGCCCTCTGTGGAGAAAGAGGTGGTTAGGGACTATTTAGAAAAGCTGGACGTGCACAAGTCCATGGGGCCGGATGAGTTGCATCCGAGAGTGCTAAAGGAACTGGCGGCTGTGATTGCAGAGCCATTGGCCATTATCTTAATGTCAAAAATCTGTGCGGGGATCTGAAGGTCCAGAATTCAGGCCCTTCTGGCAACCTGTGTGTGAGGGTGCGAAGGTGAGGGGTCCTTATGACTGCATATGATGGAATTTGTTTTCTTAGTTTCCTTTTTTTAAAAACTAGTTTATTTAAGTGTCACAATAAGAAAAAAGCCTTTTCACATATTGTTATAGTTAAAAACCTTTATAAATGTCACTTATGGCATGACATACAACAAAGCACAGGTGTTCCACATTTCTATGGTTTGTCGCTCATTGTGATTGCTTGTGTCACACACTGGCAAGCCTGAAGGTTGAGAGGTATATGCTTGCATGAAACCCCTCTGGGCCACAGAAGGCAACTTCCACTTTCCTGTATCAACAGGAGTGATTTTGGCCCTTGCTTCCTAAATTCAGCCTGTAAATTGAGGCATAATCAGTCATTTACAGGGATGATTTTTTTCCAATTCAGTCTTACATGTTTCACTTCAAAAAGAAATATTTATATGTTCAACAATTGACACATTCTCATTTACGTGAACCAAAGTTGCTCATCGGTTTTCCCAATTTCTTAACTCTGTTTTCCCCATTGGGCATGAAGGACGATTCTTTTCAGATACCCCAATCATTATATCTGAGTATGCCTCTGATAGTTTTCTTACACCGTTCCCACTATTAACATTTATAAATCCCATTCTGATTTTAATGATTTTACATTTAAAAATATGAAGAATGATCATGTGGAGAAACAAAGAATTTTTCATGTCATGCATTGGTATGAAAAATTAATAGGCACAACTCCTAGTGGCATGGAATACGATATGTTCTCATGCTCACTTCACTAGCCAGGGTGCATCTTTGATGGAGGTGATAGAGTATCCTTTTTCCTTCCTCATCTGGGTGAAAGAGGAAAAATGGAGATTGCAAGCAGGAGTACCTGAGGCAGTGCTACTGGGGCTCCCCTGGCTCCCCCTTCCTCTCCCTGCTCTATGCATGTATGAGGGATGGGGAAGGCGCTTGTCATTCCTTCCCTCCACTGCCCTCTATCACAGGATGGGCTGCCTCCTGGCATCCATTAATGGAGCCTGTCCCGCCCAGTCCTCCTGCCACTGAACTACAGGGCTATGAGAGGCCAGCTGATTTGTCTCTTGCCTACAGGGTCAGGAGAGGTGATGACATCTGCTTGCTCTTGCTGCTGGCAAACAAGGTCAGCTCCCAGACTGCTGCTCTGGGCATCACAACATGGGGAATAGATGGCCAGCCCTCTGTAGAGAAAGAGGTGGTTAGGGACTATTTAGAAAAGCTGGACATGCACAAGTCCATGGGGCCGGACGAGTTGCATCCGAGAGTGCTAAAGGAAAATGCGGCTGTGATTGCTGAGCCATTGGCCATTATCTTTGAAAACTCGTGGCGAACGGGGGAAGTCCCAGATGACTGGAAAAAGGCTAATGTAGTGCCAATCTTTAAAAAAGGGAAGGAGGATGATCCTGGGAACTACAGGCCAGTCAGCCTCACTTCAGTCCCCGGAAAAATCATGGAGCAGGTCCTCAAAGAATCAATCCTAAAGCACTTAGAGGAGAGGAAAGTGATCAGGAACAGTCAGCATGGATTCACCAAGGGAAGGTCATACATGACTAATCTAATCGCCTTCTATGATGAGATTACTGGTTCTGTGGATGAAGGGAAAGCAGTGGATGTATTGTTTCTTGACTTTAGCAAAGCTTTTGACACGGTCTCCCACAGTATTCTTGTCAGCAAGTTAAAGAAGTATGGGCTGGATGAATGCACTATAAGGTGGGTAGAAAGTTGGCTAGATTGTCGGGCTCAACGGGTAGTGATCAATGGCTCCATGTCTAGTTGGCAGCCGGTGTCAAGTGGAGTGCCCCAGGGTTCGGTCGTGGGGCCGGTTTTGTTCAATATCTTCATAAATGATCTGGAGGATGGTGTGGATTGCACTCTCAGCAAATTTGCGGATGATAGTAAACTGGGAGGAGTGGTAGATACGCTGGAGGGCAGGGATAGGATACAGAGGGACCTAGACAAATTGGAGGATTGGGCCAAAAGAAATCTCATGAGGTTCAATAAGGATAAGTGCAGGGTCCTGCACTTAGGATGGAAGAACCCAATGCACAGCTACAGACTAGGGACCGAATGGCTAGGCAGCAGCTCTGCGGAAAAGGACCTAGGGGTGACAGTGGACGAGAAGCTGGATATGAGTCAGCAGTGTGCCCTTGTTGCCAAGAAGGCCAATGGCATTTTGGGATGTATAAGTAGGGGCATAGCGAGCAGATCGAGGGACGTGATCGTCCCCCTCTATTCGACATTGTTGAGGCCTCATCTGGAGTACTGTGTCCAGTTTTGGGCCCCACACTATAAGAAGGATGTGGATAAATTGGAAAGAGTCCAGCAAAGGGCAACAAAAATGATTAGGGGTCTGGAACACATGACTTATGAGGAGAGGCTGAGGGAACTGGGATTGTTTAGTCTGCAGAAGAGAAGAATGAGGGGGGATTTGATAGCTACTTTCAACTACCTGAGAGGTGGTTCCAGAGAGGATGGTTCTAGACTATTCTCAGTGGTAGAAGAGGACAGGACAAGGAGTAATGGTCTCAAGTTGCAGTGGGGGAGGTTTAGGTTGGATATTAGGAAAAACTTTTTCACCAGGAGGGTGGTGAAACACTGGAATGCGTTGCCTAGGGAGGTGGTGGAATCTCCTTCCTTAGAAGTTTTTAAGGTCAGGCTTGACAAAGCCCTGGCTGGGATGACTTAATTGGGGATTGGTCCTGCTTTTGAGCAGGGGGTTGGACTAGATGACGACCTGAGGTCCCTTCCAACCCTGATATTCTATGATTCTATGAAATAGCCCACATGGGCTCTGTTCCATGTGCACTCTTACTCAGGGAGCTAGGCTGACTGCCAAACTTTATTTGGGGTCTGGAAGGGACTTTCCCGAAGTAGCAAACTGCTGTGGGGGTGGGTTTCACCTTCCATCCAGCATCAGAGGTCCACTTAGAAGGTGGGGTTAAATTACATTTTCGCAACTTTGATGGGTTCCAGTGGGGTCGGTGGGTTAAACAGGGTCCAATGTAAGGTCCCTGTAACCTA